AGCATAGAATTCTTTTTCCAGTTTCAGAAGTTGAAGAATTTGTGGAATAATAGACCACACTGGCTTTGGTGTGAAACGTCTGACTTACCGAGAAGTGAACTTCTTAGAGCTGCCTAGCTTGCAGACTTTCAGAAGAAATTTCTTTTGTCGTTGTTTAGAACTGTTATGTTGCAGACAGACAGACAGATAGACAGACAGACACATAGATATAGTGAGGAGTGGATGAAGGAGTGGCAGAGAGATGGATTAGCTCTGAAATCTGAGCAAAGTTTACAGCAAAATTTGCTCATCTCCCCGTTTTTAAAATCTCTCTCTTAGGTTCTGAAGTTTTTACTTTTGGCTCCAGCCATACAAAATGCTAGAGAAATATTATACATTTTATTTAAACGGTATTTTAAGTTGAATAGCAGGAGTGCGATGGCAGCACTTTTAGACTATTTATTCCGGCAATTTATCCATTGCCTCCATCCAGTCACTCTCTGAGTCTAGGCTGTTTGATTCTTGGTTCAGATCTACACTTTTTTCATTTTGAATACTGGCTTAGGTGATTTCCTTTTTTTCTTGTTATGAATTTAAAAACTCACCTGTTTCATCCAGTTTATACTGGTTGTCCTCGATTGAAAGCCATTCATTCAGCGACCGTTCAAAATTAAGACGGCTGTGAAGGAGAAAGACTTGCGGCTGGTCTGCAAAGTTGCGGTGTCTGCACAAACACACAGTCACCATTGTTCACCTTCCCTAAGTCAATGGGGAGCCAATAGGGAAGGTCCATTAAGTTGCTCCCACTGCTTTTTCTTCCGAGAAGCCCCACTAGAAATGTCCCAGGGATCTTGTTCTCCAGCGCATCTTCCTGCCTGCACTTCCAGGACTCGCCCCGCTGCTGTTACTAGCTCGCCTGCAGCACCTCTCAATTCCCTGCACCCCTTCTCTGGGAAAACCTGCTGTTTGTCAGTTAACAACATATGTGGTCCTCAGTTTATAGGTGTTGTTGTGATGCAGTGACAGTGTAGGAGATGACCAGGCTGGGTCCGAAGGAGGGAGGGGGTCAAGCACGTCATCAGTCTGGCATCCCTTCGTGCCCACAAAAGATCTAAATCCAGCCCAACTTGAATTCTATCGACTCTTATCTACCGCCAATTGCCTTGGACCGTTAGTAGTTCCGATTCTTGTAGATCTTTATCAGCATTTGAACTGCCTGCCTTTAGTGACCAACCCAGTTTGGATCCTGCAACATTATTATCCTTGGACATATATATTGGCCTTCATTCGTTGGCAACTTTAAGACCTGTGGACTTCAATTCCCAGGGGAATTCTGGGAATTGAAGTCCACAGGTCTTAACAGTTGGCAAGTTTGGGACATCCTCTCTGAAGGTATATCCTTGTTCAAAAATGAACAGAAGATCCTTATTCTACTTTATTTGGAAATAATTTGATAGCACAGGGAGAAAAATGTGCTGCTGCCAAAATACAAGCTGGGTCCATCTGTTTCGTTTCTCTCTACAAATGTCTCTGCATCTTTGTGGATGTGTTTTGTCTAAATGGTGCAAGCTGCTTCATGGGCCTTCTCCCCTCCCCTTTTCCTTGATGCATGCAAGATTTTCAGGGATGAATAAGAGTTTCTATTCTATTTCTAATAAGAGCTGGCTTTTCTGGTGATTCATCTTTACGTCTTCTTTGGAAGCCCTGCTCCTCTTAATTATATGTTGTGACATTTTCATAAGCCGGTTATCTGTTGGGTAAACAAGAGAAGTGTGGGTTTGATACTTCTCCCAGAGAGATTGACTTTCCGTTTCCTTGCTTTCCGTTCCCAATATACAACTCTTTGCAGCGTTGGGAGCCGTAAGCCAGCCGTGTGATTCGTGATAGAAGGACTTTCCCGATAAGGCAAAAAAAAAAAAAAAAGAGATATAAATTTCCTGTTGCCTCAAACCACCAATTTGTTTCCACAGATGGTTGGGGTGGAATTTTACTGCCCAGTATGGTTGCTGATGACAGTTACTTGGAAAATAATCCCTCGCAGATAGACCTGTTCGTAGAGAAAACATGACTGGGAATATTTGGGGACAGATGTAAAATACAGGTAGTCCTTGACTTAACAACCGTTTGTTTAGTGACCGTTCAAAGTGATAATAGGACTGAAAAAAAAGGACTTTACACTTACAATCTTTGCAGCATCACCAAGATCACGTGATCAAAATTCAGACGTTTGACAACTGGTTCATACTTACGACTGTTGCAGCATCCTGGAGTCATGTGATCAAAATTCAGATGTTTGGGAACTGACTCGTATTTATGACGGTTGCAGTGTCCCTTTTGCGACCTTCTGACAAGCAAGGTCAAAGGGGAAGCCAGATCCACTTAACCACCGGGTTACTAACTTACCAACTGCAGTGGTTCCAGATCTGTTAAGCCAGAACAACAGTGGCAAGAAAGGAGCAAAACTCACTTAACAAATTCTCACTTAACAACAGAATATTTGGGGCTCAATTGTGATCGTAAGTCAAGGACTCCCCGTACCTCACAGTCTCTTTTTTAGCACAGGTCCTGCACACAATCCAGATTTGTCTAAAATAAATGCCTAGAAGGAGGAAGCTCGGGTTAAACCACTTTTTCTCAAGCGTGGCAACTTGAAGATGAGTGGACTTCAGCTCCCAGAATTCATCAGCCAGAGGGGAATTCTGGAACTTGAAATCCATCCATCTTCAAGTTGCCAAGCTTGGGGAACACTGGTGTAAACATCTTATTTATGTTTATTCAAAACTTTAAAAAAGTTTTAAGAAAAAGTTTTTACTCTCCTATTGGGCCAATGGGGCCTTCTTGGAAGCCCTCAACCAAAAGGATGAGAATAGCTCTCTTAACAATCTTGAGACATTCTGGAGAGGCTATAGTAAGCTTATTGTAGCTCATAGTTTTTACACTGTTCTTGCAAGCAGCAAATTACGCCAATGAAATATGAAGCACAAAGAAAGATTTTCCTTTACTTGCCTAGAAATTTTCACCATTCCTCTTTCAGGAATGATTGCAGCTTTTAATATTGGAGTAGAGAAATGCCTGCTAGAGCCATTTTGTTTCTATCTTCAAGATGTGGCTATATGATGTACAACATACAAAAAAGGGGCACCCGAACAGGTCGGAATAACGCTGTCTGGATGAAAAGCAACAATGAAAAGTCAGATGATTGATAAGGCGAAAACTAAATAAACCACATTGTGTAATTGTGAGCCAAGCCTGTCCGCCGATGTGTGTGTGCCAGAGAGAAAACAATTAATACTGGTTTTTTAGAGGTCATTCTGCTCTTGCCTGATTCTTCGCTGACAATGCACTGCATTTTAATTTTAACATGGATATATTTTAATTTTTAAATGGATTTGGCTCTTTGGGGGGGTGGGGGAAATACACAGATTTGTAGATAGGTGGAATTGTGTTTTTTTGTGTTGTAAGTGGCTTAGCTTTCCCTAAGCTATTATACGGTGATATACAACAGTTCATTTAGTGACTGTTCAAAGTTACAATGGCACTGAAAAAAGTGCCTTGGGACCATTTTTCACACTTAACGACTGTTGCAGCATCCCCGTGGTCACGTGATTTACATTCAGATGCTTGACAGCTGACTCACATTTATGACAGTCGCAGCATCCCGGGGGTCACCAGATCCCCTTTTGTGATCTTCTGACAAGCAAAGCCAATGGGGTAGCCAGTTTCACTTAACAACAAAATAATTTAAAAACAGCAGTGATTCCCTTAACCAATGTGGTGAGAAAAGTCGTAAAATGGGCCAAACTCACTTAACAAACGTCTCACTTAGCAACATAAATTTGTGGCTCAGCTGTGGTCATAAACCGAAGACTACCTCTATGAGTTTTTTTTTAAGTGTCCAAAACATTAATCAAAGTTAAAATGAGGAAACTTGCAATAAATCAGCTCCACTGAGTTTGCTTTCCAGTTGCACATTCTTAAAGGCTAGTTTTACATTAAAGAACTTTTTCCATCATCTCTTGAGGATTAGTAGGTGGGGGGATTCCTCCTGAAAGCTTGGAGAGTGTAAGTTCCACATATGACTAATGTACAATATATTAGTCATGAACTTTTAATAGGGGCAACCTTTGAGGTTGCTTTTGGTGTGAAGCAAATGTCTCGTTGTTTTCTAACTCCTTTCTCAGCAACTGACTCTTTCTTGCTTATCCTTCGTTTCCATGATAAGCTTCAAAATGTTTGCTCTCCTTTGTGTTCCTGGCTGTCAAGATAAGGGTGAATACTTAAATCTCACTTTCAAGCATTCTGTTCCATTTTAATACAAACAAAATAAAAGTGGATGCTCCTGAATATGAATCAGCAGATCCCCACTAAGCAAGTGTCAACTTCCAAAGACCAGGTCCCACATGTGAAGGTTCAGTTAAACTGATTTATTGCTATAGCCTGCACACAAGGATCTTCTCAGTTTGTGGTCAACTCTTGTTAAGAGTTAGATAAGTGTCAACAGCACTCAAGGAACATTGGACTTAGCTTGCTTGTGGCTGTGTAGGGATTCTAGGCTGGTCCCTCTTTTCACCCTGCCCCTAGGTTCTGCCACCCATTCTCCCACAGCAGGATAACTAAAAGTAAAATGAGATAAATTAGGGGAATCCAGTCTCATGGGAATGGAAGTTTGCTTGTGTAATTCCTCACTTTCCCCATATATTCTCAAAATCTGCTTAAGAGAGTTGAAGAAGTCTTTGAAACACGTTGCTACAGAGAAATGCCTTGGCCACTGAGTATGAATCCCATTCTTTTAGGAACTAACTGTCAACAGAAGCAAAACATGGGATTTTATACAATATAATATTTGTTCCCACTCACCACCACCCCCAATCCTTGATTTTTCTTCATGCAGTGTTTTAGTGTTAGAGCACAGTCAATACATCCCTCAAGTGAAAACTGGATGGGTGCAGTTTCTTTGCACTTTGGTGATGTGGTTTGTCAAGGCCGGGTTGACATCATCCATTCCTCTTGTATGTTTCTAGGTGGCAATAAAAATCATCGACAAATCTCAGCTAGATTCTGTGAACCTGGAAAAAATTTACCGGGAGGTACAGATCATGAAAATGCTGGACCATCCACATATTATCAAGCTTTATCAGGTATGTAACCTTCTCTCCTGTCAAATCTGAACGTTAAAAAGTGACGGAAACCAAGCCTTCTTACCAGTCAGCTCCTGAATTTATCTTTGGCTGGTTGCCGTTGGTTGAATTATTGAGTAGTAATTAATTAATCCCTGTGTACAAATCTGGAAACAATTTGATACTTCAGATACTTCATCCTTTTTGAATGTGAACAACTGTATGGCTTTGAATAATTCATTAATTCACAAGCCTGAACTTCCCTTGACTTTCAGCCACAAAAGCCAAGGGGAGCTGGGTTTAAAATTGTTTAAAATTGTTGCACACTTGTGCTTATTTGGTTCCTTCTACAGTAGTGGCCAAAATTGTGGAAACCTTTTGGGAAAAGTGTACAGTAGAAATGCCACCTTTGGTTAAGTTTCCACCAATTTTTCTTCTAATTTCTTTATAACGGTAGCCTTGTTCACTTGATAATACTATTTTACATCGCTTTCTGGGCGACCAGTCAACTCTTTGCACCATGACTTTAATTTTATTATGTTTTACAAGCTCACTGAATGAAAGAACACAAAAAACCCTAACCAACTTGATAGCGATCACATAACACACTGACAAATGTCCTCCTCTCAGCTTCAATACATGACATCAATAACTGAATCCTACTGTGATCTGATTGGCTCATTGCCAAAACAAGATGACACCTGACTGGCTCTCTAAACACTCATGCTCATTGGCTACAATCAGATGAAGGAAAGCTACCTGATATCAACCTAAGCAAGTTGTGCTTCCTTTTTATGGTTATTTGGCTATAACTTTTCATAGAATACTATACAGATAATTGAACAAACTTTGTTGCATTACATTCTTGATTAAATTATCTTTCCATTGATATATAATTTTATGATACTGCTCCCAAAAAAAGTGTTATTAGCCATCAAACCTCAAAAATACACTTTTCCCAAAAGATTTCCACAATTTTGGCCACTACTGTACCTGCAGGGACAGCTATGCTATCCAAGGACTTGCAGGGTAAACCATCACATATCTGAATGGTTTGACTCCTAGATTGTTGGTCTTCAAGGAACTGTGGTTTGAAATGGTTTGGAAATGTTTAAACCCAGGCTTATAGGAGAAACAATAGGCCATGTTTTGGTTGCTGGTTAGTTTATATGGCCCTGCTTGAAGAAAGAGTAAAGTGGGAGCAGGAAACCAACATTCATCAGCCCACTTTCTTACTAACAAGCCACACTGGGGAAGAATCCTGGCTTAGAGTCTTTTAGGAATGCAGTGAGTCACTTGAGGCTAACATAAGGTCAGATGGATCAGTGGGACTTCATCTTTCACATGATCCTGTTTATGTAATCTGCAGTTTGACCTGAATAGCTTTGCATCCGCATGTTCAAGTATAGCGATTCGCTACTCCACAATTTCCTAATGCGGAAGAGTGAATGGCGGTATTTCAAAAATCTGTAATTTGCCTGCTTCCATCTTCATCCTTGACTTTTGCTCATGGTCTAAAGGTGGGCAGCTGTGACCCCCTTTAAAGCTGTGGACTTCAACTCCCAGAACTCCTGAGCTAGCCATACAGGGCTGGCTCAGGAATTCTGGGAGCTGAAGTCCATGGGTCATAAAAGGGCCAGAGTTGCCTACTTTTGGTCTAAAGCAGGGGTCTCCAGCCTTGGCAACTTTAAGACTTGTGGACTTCAACTCCCAGAATTCCTCAGCCAGCTTTGCCAAGGTTGGGGACCCCTGGTCTAAAGAGTAGGAAAGTAGAGTTTCCTTAGTTCTCAGAGCAGTGACTGTTGTTCCTCTGCATTAAATATTTGGCTTGTTTATGCTTAATGCTAAACGTCATCTAGCCGACACACACATACACACACACACACACACACACACAGGCTGAGTCTAGGCTTCTCTGTAGACTGAATCTAATTCATTCAGTAAAGCTGTATAGCTGTGACACTTAAATAAGTTTGAAAGTTTAAATAGACTGCGTGACATTCGTCTTTAATATTGCCTTTTTATATAGCCATGCTGTCCTACAAAAAAGAGGTTCATCTCAGCATCAATCAAGTAAACGTCCTAGAAATTTCCTTGTTTAGAGCACCATATTCCATTAGCATTGATTATCTTTTATCTTATGCGGCTGGTAGGCACACAAAAAATTAAGCAATCAGGAATTTATGTTGCATTGATATGGAAAGCTACATTATGCCCCTTTAACAATTAAGCACTACTTGTTCCATACTCCTGTTGATCTGTCTGACAAAAAAGAATGGTTTGGTTTTGAAGGCAAGTCTTTCTCATTAGGCAACCAGATGTTTGAAATGACGACAGCCAATTGTAGAACCAAAGTAGGAAGTAGTTGAACCTTCACCATGGACTGAGCCAAAATTCAAATATAGAAGTTTTAAGCACTGACGGGGATGTAGTAATTCAGGAACAAATCCCAGACATGAGTCAGTGAAATGGACAAGAGTTTTTCAGAAGCAGTGCTATGAGCCACCTGAAGCAATCGGATTCAATTCATTGTAAATCTACATAAAGGCCTTGCTTAGAACTCTCTTTATTAGTTTACCCAATGTCATTAACAAATTACCCGGATTAAATGTTGAATCTCAAGAAAAAGAAATTTCCCCACCATTTAAAGAAGAGGTCTGGCTTGTGAGTTGTGTGGTTCGCTTTTATTAAATCATGTCTCAATATTGACAGTATGCTATAAATCAAAAAGTTAATGGTGATATTATAAAATGAACAGCAGACTTATTTGAGCTGGAATTTAGAAATGAGAGAATGATCCAGATCATAAAAAATAACATAATACTATTTCACGCTCTGAGATCTTCTGGAAAAAGCAGTTAGCTGTCAACAGTACTCTTTTAGTCATCTTTTGTTACTGAGTAGTTGAGACTTTCTTTGACTTCCAATAAACCAAATCCTTCCAATAATTTCACCAATAAATACATTCAGCAGAAGGCTCGCAGCTTAGGAGTTGGATGGGGTTTCATGCAAATCTTTTCGGCCTTGTTGATTTCTTAACTCTTGATTCTTTTTTACTTTTCATTTATTAATTTTAATCTTGCATTTTAATTCTCTTTTAACTATGCTTTTAGTCATGCTTTTATATTATTTTATAGTATTGTTTGCAAAGTGCCCAGAATTACTTAGGTGAGATGGGATAGTGTAGAAATTAGATGGATGGATGGATGGGTGGGATGGGATGGGATGGATAGGACAGGATAGAATGGATAGATAAATAGATAGATAGATAGATAGATAGATAGATAGATAGATAGATAGATAGATAGATAGATAGATATGGATATTTATTTATTTATTTATTTATTTATGAGACTTATATACCGCTTTAAGTGCAAGCACTCTCTAAGCGGTGTACACCAGTAAGCAATGTATATCTATATTTTACATTGCCCCCAACAATCTGGGTCCTCATTTTACCTACCCCGGAAGGATGGAAGGCTGAGTCAACCTTGAGCCGGTGAGATTTGAACCGCTGACCTGCTGAACACAGTCAGCTAAAGTGGCCTGCAGTACCTAACCCTAGATAGATAGATAGGTAGGTAGGTAGGTAGGTAGGTAGATAGGTAGGTAGGTAGGTAGGTAGGTAGATAGATAAGATAACATAAGATAACATAAAATAAGATGAGATAAGATGAGATAAGATGAGATAAGATAAGATAGACAGACAGACAGACAGATCCCTTCTCTTCTAAGCAACTATGGTGAAGAGCTGCCATCCTTTATCTCAGCCAAGAAATTGTGTTGAAGAGTTTGCTGATTTGTGTGTATCAAGAGGCCGGGTATGAATTGCTACACATCTTCTAGCTGCAGAGTTTCCTCCCATTGACCAAGAGATTACTTTGGCCATGGCGTCAAACTTTCTCAAGGCCCAAGAAGAATTCTCCAAGCTTTTCAATTCTCCAACTTTCTGCATTTATTAAAAGCGTTTTTGGTCTCTCCTTTGTCCTAACAAACTGCTTTTAACATTCTAAGTGAGATGATTATTCACTAACGCCAGCATCTCTCACTCCGCCACGAGGGTTTGCAGTCTGTATTCGATTTGGGAAAAAAACATTTGAAGTTCTTGGAAGTGTCTTGTGATAGCATGTAAGCAAATAAATGTATTCTGGCATAAACGTTTGTGGACTCCATCCAATTCCTTCATTTTCGTATTTAAACATTTGGGAGACAGAAATTGTTTCTGTTCCAGTTAGTTCGTCTAAAATACATCAGTTGACCACTTCTGTCTTCTCACTCCAAATTATAACATCCTGGAGAAGAAGATGGTTGACCGGCAGGAACCCTCAACAGGAAAATTCTGTTCTTGCAAGACTTCGGAAATTCTGTTGCAGTTCTTATTTGTGTTTCTATTTTGCGCAAAAGCCATTGGAGCATTGTTTAATGAGACAGATCTTCCCAGAAAACAGATCTAAACATTTCAGTGCCAAGTGATTTATCTTGTCTTTGCCTTCAAGATTAAAAGTATCTGGCATTGTTTTCTTATATCTGGCATCACACAATAAATGCTAGATGCAAAATTCAGGACTATGGATTTTACTTGTTCTCCTGCTAATTTAGAACTTATTGCTTCAGCACATTGGCTCAAATCCCACAACCTTCAGACTACATTTTACAGTTTATTCTGAGAAATCTCAATATATCTTAAGGTTGGTTGTGTTCCAGTAACGAGGCATTCCTTTTAATTACCAATTTAGGAAAGCTTGATCTCCATCCTGCCTTCACCTTTGAATTCTTGAAGTAATTTAGATTTTTTAATTCCAGACAACTTGTTGATTGGAAAAATTAACATATGTTGATGAAAAAAAATTAATAAAAATTTTTACAAAAAAAAATAGAATTTTTAAACGTGTAATGATAACTCTAGTGTCTCATTTTCATCAGAAAAATACTGAAAAAGTTGCTTCCAAGAGTTCTTGGAATTTCTCCCCCCCCCCTTTTGCCAGTTAAAGTGATGTTTTATTTCTTTCATTCACAGGTGATGGAGACCAAAAGCATGCTGTACCTTGTGACAGAATATGCCAAAAATGGAGAAATATTTGGTAAGTTTTCTGACTATAAAAATAGCTCATTGGTTTATTTCAGCAGCTGCGTACTGTAATGAATTTGGAAATTATCTTTGCTCTTAAAAATAGGAGCTTTTCTTTGCTCAGTTGTCCAGAAACAAAGATTAGGGATTTTGGACAATAGATTATTTCCCCCAGTCCCATAATTAAGACGGTTCCTCTTTCCATTGGCACTCTGTGCCCTGTAAGTATTTCTCCAGGGATGGTGCTTGCTTTGTTTGAGAAGGGGAATCTGCAGGCTTTATAAATTTCAATTTCCCTTCTCAGGGGTGTTAAACTGCTGGCCCGCGGGCCGGTTTCATCATACCGGAGCCACGCACACCCCATTGCCGGCAATGGCAAACAAGCTCCGATACGTTGCACAACATCACATGACGTCGCAAGTTTGACGTGTCTGTCTTAGATTATTGCCAATGTTGGCTAAGATGATGACAACCCAGAACTTAACAACACAGATCCCTACATCCCAACCATATTTTAGGGCAAATGGCAAACATTTCACTGTGAACACAATTTACTTTGGCTGTCTGGTATCAACAGTTAAAACAAAACTATTTTTTTATCATTAGTAACCATTGATTGGGATTCCAGAATAATTTCTCATGTCCTGCAATAATCTGTTCTGCAAATGTTCTTGGAATCTAAGTTCAACTTTTTTGAGTTTTGCATAGCTTTTAAACATTTATTCCACTCCTTTACTTAAGATGCAGGAGGGAAGTTTGAAATTACACACCTGCAAAAGGGTAGTGTGTAATCTCACTAGCACAATTCCATAGTGCTATGGGATGTCATCATTTTAAGGGAGAAATGAGCTGTATCTCATAAGTTTGTGCCTTTTAATAAAAAGCCTGAAAAGATAGTCCCAGATTCTTCCTGTTTTTGTCATCGAAATCAGGAATAGATAGCACATTTTCGGATTAATGCCTTTTATTAAAAATATAAATTTTTGTGAGATATAATTCATTTCATCAGTTGTCTGAAGTGGCCAAACTGATGAAGGATTTAAAGTGGAAGAGAGAAGGTGTGGAACTGGGATACTTTTGCAATTACAGGCTATATATGAAACATTATTTTGTCAATTAACGATTGTAACGTGTTAAAAACCCACTGGGCTTGTTGAGACCTTTTGAGATAGCCTAAAACCTTTAATGCATGTGTGTTCAGCAGTCTCTCACTCAATGGTCCTGTTGTTGTTATTTTTTCCCCCAAATGGCTATTGTGAGATCTGTCATGGAATTCCTTTGGAAACCAAAGTACTTTGATATTATTTTGTCCTTATTTGGAATCCTCATGGTCAAACCTGTGTCGAAGGACTCCGTGTCTCAGCCTTGACAGTTTTAAGATGTGTGGACTTCAGCTCCCAGAATTCCCTGGGGAATTCTGGGAGCTGAAGTCCACACATCTTAAAGTTGTCAAGGTTGAGAAACCACTGCCGAAGGGCATTGCTGGTCGATGACAGCATTTATGAGATCACATTAGAGAAAGAACATGTTGAAGGTTCCCAGTGTGTCACCAAAATAATCAGAATACCCCAGGAGTGTTTAACCAGATAAGGTTTGCAAAGGACTAGGCAGTAAGAAGCCAACCGTAGAAATCTTTTAAGAGCTGAAATGTAAAGGCTGTCTTTAATCTAATTAGCCAGCTTTATCTTGAGTTGTGGTTGGATAAGATTGCCAGTCCTGTGGTTGGGTTGTGCAAAAGGTGACACGTGATAGATTGTTTAGCTCAGGGTGACTTCCTCCAATGTCACATTTCCTTGGGTACTTCTTGTGTTAGGATGTTTCAGAACACAAAATCCAGAGGATGACTAATAGTCAGGCTGCACTCTTGGTTTCTATTTTGAAATAGCGTTGAGGCTTTGCTAGATTAATGGTGGAAGAATTTGTGTGGGGCTACTGATAGACAAGTGGCTGGCAAGAGTTTGGTCCCGACAGAAGAGAGGATGTGTTGCTCAGGGCTGTATTGTGGTTTCTGAGCTTGATGGTTTTCTTGCAGACATTTCATTACCAAACTGGGTAACATCATCAGAGCTACTGATTATGTTATCTAGGTTGATAACCTTGTTGATAAACAACAAGCTCAGAAACCACCAAGCTCGGAGAACAGAAGACTTTGGTCTCCTGGTAGGGTGAGTTGTCTTCCATGTCCTTGGGTCTAATCCATCCCTTGGCCCAGCTTCTGCAGAAGATAAATTGAGATAAAATTCAAATGGTGGAACGAGCATTCTGTGGCTCCAAACCCTCCCGAGAAGAGAGAAGCCAATGAGAATTCTTGGAGGTATCTGCCATGTCACCATGATTGATTCGGAGAATGTTCTCCCGTGCCCAATTCAGCCCATTCTCTGTGAGCATAAAATGGGGAGAGGTTAAGACCTGTTTTTTTCAACCTTGGTCATCTTCAGATGAATGGACTTCAGCTCCCAGAATTCCCCAGCCAAGGTGGCACCTCTGAAAGGGGTCACGGTTGAGAAACAGTGGCTTGGACTGTTTTTGTCGTGCTTCACTTCTTCATCCATGGGCCTTGCTGCTCTGAGATGTCAATTTCCTGGAAGGCATGGTGGCCCCATGGTTTTGTACCATTTAATTATCCTTCGTGGATAAATATTATTGTTCTGCTCATTTTTTAAAGCCTTTCTGTGTTCCACCATTTAGACAAAGCAGACCCTTGGTGCTTTCACAGTTTTCTGTTTCCTGAAGAGCCTGGCCTTTTTTTTTTTTTTTTATGTTCTGTTGGCTGCATTATTGTACATTATTTCCAGGGCTCAAGAGAAATCTCTTTAAGAGGAAAATTCCTCACTGAGGCATCAACTTGCGTGCAAGAACAAAATCAGTGGGTTTTTTAAAAAAATTATTTATTTATGGCCAGCTTCTTTCTGCAGGAATTTTTTTCTGAATTCTGCCCCTCTGGTATAATCTGTAATATCCTGTTCTACACTGGCAGTTTTACTTGCTGAGGTTAAGGATCAGTAATGTATTCCACTATTTCGAACTTATTGCGGTGCTGAATAGAACATAACTTAAGTCCAGCACATTGCACACAAGCAAGCAGAAATGACATCCCTGCTCGAACATAAACATCTAGAGTTGTGCTCGATTTTACAACCTTTTTGCCATGGCTGTTAAGCGAATCACTGCAGACATTAAGTGGATCGCATGATCGTTAGTCATATCTAGTTTCCCCCATTGACTTTGCTTGTCAGAAGCTGCCTGGGAAGCTCACAAATGGTGATCAGCTGACCCTCGGATGCGTCAAACGGTCATAAGTGTGAGGATCAGTTGTAAGTCACTTTTTTCAGTGCCGTTGTAACTTGGAAAGATCACTAAATAGAGGGTTATACGTTGAGGCCTGTGTGTGTGTGTGTGTGTGTGTATACACACACACACACACACACACACACACACACACACACACACACTGCAAAATCCACCTGCTTTCACAAATGTGGCCTCTTTTAAGAATGTTAAAGATTTCCCACAAGAACTTCCATGCCCAGTAATGTTTAAATTGAAAGTCAAAGGCCACGATCCAAAGAATCGATTTTGGATGTGCATTTGCATTTGCATATATTTTTAATTACATACATAATGTATGTGAATCAGAAGTCTTCCCGGTATTAAATATATATATATGCAGAGCCATGCTCAGAATGCCAGAGTTTTGCATAAAATATCACTTGTAAACTTATTTAAACCTTTTAGAAAGAGTTTCAACTCTAAAAGGGTTGCTTTAGGAAAAAATGGGCATTTTCTTTCTATGCAAATAAATTATTTTTAAAAAAAATACAAAAGAACTGAAGAGAGAGGGGGAACCATAAAAAGACCAATAGGCTAGGTGGATTATTGTCTAAAAAAACCCCTCAAGGTTATATTGATAATGATTAATACTATTACATCCTCCAGGAACAGGGTAGAATTAGCATAAATATCAGTTAGCAGACTGTCAGCCTCAGACCCGTAACTGTTTCCTTGCTGATCAATATGAAATATTTTGGAAAAGGGAAAATCACAGTGAGGGTGTGAAAAGATAATATTGTTCAATTGCTATCTTTGCTGTAGTCTTTGATTTAACAATCACAGTTGAGACCAAAATTTCCATTGCTAAGTGAGGTGATTATTATTATAACTTTTTGCCATGATTGTTTAAGCAAATCATTGCGGTTCTTAAATGAATCATGCTGTTATTAAGCGAATTGATTTTGCATGACGGAAGCCAGCTGGGGATCACGTGACCCTGCGATGCTGCAACCGCCATAAATACCTGCCAGTTGCCAGAGCTCAAATTTTGGTCATATGATTGTGGGGAAAGCATCATGATTGTCAGGGAAGAACGGGTCCTAAGTCACTTTTTTCAGTCCCCTTGTAACTTCAAACAGTTTTTAAACGGATGGTTGTAAGTCGGTCCGGACCACCTGTGATTGAGGCACTTTGCAAACCAATTTCCTGGTTGAAGGAAGTTCTAGTTTAATGGCAATAAGGTAGTGGTGAAAGCTAGAAGACCAGCTGGAACTCAATGTATTTGCCTTGTGGTGATGAGATTGGAGAACGAGGTGGTGGAAACCTTGGGTGATGCCTCCAAACTTGCTCCCCAGTGCCTTGGCTTTGGAAAGAGGCTACCCACAGCCATTTATGCCACAAAGAAGAGGGGGGGGGGGTCAAGCTATTCTCCAAAGCACCTGAAGGCAGAACAAGAAACAACGGATGGAAACTCATCAAGGAGAGAAGCAACCTAGAACAAAGGAGGAATTTCCTGGCAGTGAGAACAATTAACCAATGGAACAACCTGCCTCCAGAAGTTGAGGGTGCTCCAACATTGGAGGGTTTTAAGAAGAGATTGGACAAACATCTGTCTGCGATGGTGTAGGGTTTCCTGTCTGAGCAGGGGGTTGGACTGGAAGACCTCCAAGGTCCCTTCCAGTTCTGTCATTCTGTCATTTGCTTTTTTTCTCAACAGCTTAACCACGAAAAGTAGGCTTTCCA